CCATGGCCTGCAACCAAATAGCGATGGCCTCCAACCCAATTGCCATGGCCTCCAACCTAATAGCGATGGCCTCCAACCTAATAGCGATGGCCTCCAACCTCATAGCGATGGCCTCCAACCAACTAGCAATGTCCTCCAACCTAAGAGCGATGGCCTCCAACCTAATAGCGATGGCCTCTAACCTAATAGCGATGGCCTCCAACCTAATAGCGATGGCCTCCAACCTAATAGATGTGTTAGCTACAAGTGTGGCGGGTCAAGGGAGTACTTGATGCGAGCATTTGTAACCCACCCCAAGATGTCACAGGTCAGGTTGCTCGGAAGTTACAATCACCAACGCGAACCCTGCAAAAGAGTTGCACGGCGCAACGCAGGCGCAACGGCCGCATGCGTTACTTTGCGATCGTGGTCGCACATCGCCTGGAGTTGCGAACCAAAGAGGCCGCCAACAAGTGAAGGGAAGGTGTAGTGTTCCTTTTCTTTTCTTGTGTTTTGTTTCTCTTTTTTGTGTGCTCCTTTTAGAGGCATCTTTTAAAACCCCGCCAGGGTTAGGCCACTATAGGAAGACGTAAGCTAGTAGCTTAAGTAAGCTACTAGCTACTGATGCAGGTTAGCTCCGAGTGTTCATTTGGTGCCTAGATATTTTATGTTGTCTCTCTTTCTGAGGCCGGACCGTGTCAAGAAAGGGATGAAGGTCCAACGAAAATAAGAATAAGCAGTCGAAAGTCTTCTTGTTTACCACTCACGGAACTTGAGCAATTGCCAGCACAGGTGGATTGCCTCCAAGTGGCTATGAAGTATCATTCGGTGCTGGTGGACATCAAGCACCAGGTCGCGGATCATGCAATCAGCGTGAGGAGTTCTACTGAAACCCCTGGGATCATGTAGCAACTTTCCCTGTCCGGTTCAAGTCTTAAACAAAGGCGCCGCAGATTCGGCGCATTCTCAGGGAAGGGCGCCTCTTGCAGGTTTGTGAGGGTGAAGCCAAGACAGGAAAGAATTTAAGAAAAGGGCATCGTTTACATCACAGTAGTAACAAGTGCCACGCTAGTAGTAACAGGTGCCTTACTAGTAGTAACAAGAAGCTATTAGAAACAAGTGCCACGCTAGTAGTAACAGGTGCCTTACTAGTAGTAACAAGAAGCTATTAGAAACAAGTGCCACGCTAGTAGTAACAGGTGCCTTACTAGTAGTAACAAGAAGCTATTAGAAACAAGTGCCA